TTAAGGAGCAGTGGAATGCCACATGAGGGCTATGCCGATCCCGTCATGAGCGATGGACCCAGATTCCACTCGGACGTGCCTGTTAGCGAGCTCGCCGAGCGTGACACTCGAGCCATCAGGCAAGTGTCATTAGCTCAACCCCTCCGGTTGTGGAAACCACAGACAAGGTGACACATAAAACTCGCCCGGCCCCTATCGAGCCCAACAGGGCTCGAGGGCTTGAGCCGCCCGACCCCGACTCGGGAATCCGACCGATCGAGGTTCAAAGGCTGACCCATGAAGGGCTCGAGGCCGCCTCGCGTCGAACAGAGCCAGGGAAGAAAACACAGATGAGCCCCAGCGGCCTTTGCTCGACCTACTCAGAAGCGGACAGGGTGATCTCGACCTTTTCCATCGATCCTAACCTCGAGCCAAGCCCATAGAATCTCCATCAAGGAGAGGCCAGCGGGCCACCTGAGTCAGTCTTCGGAACAACTCAGGCATCTACCGGGAAACAAGTTAAGGAGCAGTGGAATGCCATATGAGGGCTATGCCAACCCCGTTACGAACGATGGACCTTGATTCCACTCGGACATGCCCATTAGCAAGCTCACCGAGCGCGTCACTCGAGCCATCGAGGCAAGTGATGTTAGTTCAACCCCTTCGATTGCGGAAACCACGGATGGGGTGATGATCATAAAGACAAGCCGACCCTTGACCGGTCCCCCGCTACGCATGGGGGCTCGAGGAAGTTGGACTCGTAAGGAGACCGAATGCACGGTCATGTAATCGATGGCTCGAGATCCTAGGGAGGGGTGCGTCACGAAAACTAAGAATAACATTTCTAAAACAAGAGACACTTTCTCCTACTAGTTTTGCTATCATCTCCTCGATCTTTAGTGAAACCCGACCCCAGCAACGACAAGGGGTCAGGTCTCACTCGGGGGCTGATAAGGGTATATATACCCTTTTTGAAATAGTTGTCGTGCCCAACCCCTTCCTCAGGTTAAAAACCTAAAGGCAAGGGTTGCGTAAACGAACGAATCGAGTAAGGCCGGGTCGAATCAAGAAGAAACCCATGCCCCAAAGGGCTATAGCACTCTTACTTACCAACATGACCAGAGTTTTTTGCCCACACCTCGAGCTCTATGGTCTTAACAACAGGAAGGGTTGGAACGCATTAACCCCTTTTTACACATAAAAAGGGAGAAAGAACAAATTTGTTCATACGAAATAACAAACTTGTTTAAACGAAACACAAGGGTTGGAACTTGTCCGCTTATTACAAAAATGATCGCCCAACCTATTTAACTAACTAGTCCTCTAGGGAGAACTATGCCTTCTATCACCGCTGCTCGCCAGTCCCACTGAAGGGGAGCCACCGCCGCTTTCCATCTCCTCTAGCTCGTGGACTTCATAACAGGGCGTAGCCGTGGCTCATCGCCTACAAATCGATGATGTCCCCATAATGAGAACGAGCAATCATGAAGGACTGATTGACCTCTGGCGCGAAGGGCATTCCTCTTGAGTGGCACCAGCCAGTGATCTCGATGCACGAGCCATGAGCGAGCTGGTCCTTCCGACCGCACCACCTCAAGGTCGTCAGAGACCACTCGATTGAGGCGCCAGATACCAAGCTCATCACTCTCCGCTCAAGATTTCTCTTCACCTCGGTGAGGTCCACAGCCAGCCCGACAGAAATGCTCTCGGCCTCTAGCTTCCGGGTCATCTCCCTTTTGAGCTTGGCCTGGAGGGAGCCGACCTTCTATTGCGCGTCATCGCGCTCTTGGCAGGCCTGGTCATGCTCTCGGAAAGCCTAGTCGCGCTCCTCACGAGCCGCGCCACATTCCGAATAGAGCCTCTCCGCGGTTTGAATCAGCTCATCCTGCTCCTTGCGCTGCTGAGTGACCACCGTGGTGTCTAGGCTTGCCCTTTTCTCTAGGGCTGTGAGCTTCTGCTCGGCCCCCAACTTTAGATCCCTTTCTTTGTCAACCTTGCCCAGAAGGTCAAGGATCCGCTGGCGGGTTTCTGCGTCCTTCTGGTGCAACTCATCCCGCTCCTTCCTCACCCTGGTGGCTTCTTGGTCATCCTTTCGCGACCTCACCGACAGGGCCTCGAACGCCTTCTCAGCCTCATCAGCATCTCGACGGGCCTTAGCCACCCACAACCGAAGATTGGCCGCCTCCTTGGTGAGGGAGTCAGCTCGACCACCCTCTACTGGGCGGCAATGAGCTAAGCTGTCACCTCCCCGTGTAGCCGCGCCTCCTCGATGAGGTGATCCTAGGCTTCCTTCTGCTGACGAAGGATCTGAGATTTCCCCCGGTACTTTTTGTCATTTCTGATTCACATATGACATAAAATAAGTACATTGAATTACAAGACATCTTTCAGGGCACAAACACGTTTCGTTAGGGCAAAAGTGGCTTCCCTATGATTACAGGTCATCATGTAAATAAGGGGAATCATACCTCATCATTGGCTTTGATCACCAACAATGATGAGGTAATTGAACAAGAAAATCACTTTAATTCACATCCTTCAATCAATTCAGTTAGGAGGATCTAATTATGTGGACTCTTCACAATGACCCACATAGGGGAATCATACCTAGCTAGTCCTTGGCTGTGACCAACATTCCCAAGGTAATTGAACAAAAGAAAATCACTTTTATTCACATGCTTCAATTTAGTTTGGAATTAATTATATTCACTCAGTGTTGCGGCTAGTAGAGGCACATACCAGAGAGATATCTGATTAAGCACAACTAATTTGTTTCATTATTTAAATCAGTGTAGAGAGAGCACTGCATGATTATGTAATAAAGTGGCAGCTTGGGTAGTGTACTTCTGCTCATAGCGTTCATGTCTTTCTTCACATTCTTTGTTAGCGTGGATTGCTATTGTAAAACTTAAGCTTGTTCCCCGACAGGATCTGTGGATTTGATGATTATATCTATATGGTTTCTTTAATATGCTATTTAAGCTTCATTTAAAAACATTATGAAAATGCAATAATATCCTAGGATGCAAGAACATTCTAACGGTGAATAAATGGTCATTAATGCTGGACCAAACTACTTATCAGTGGTGAACTAATAGTCATTAGCACCGAGTTAATGCTTGAGACGGTATTTATGAATTCCTCATCACCGTCGGATTACACCACTGACCGGTGGTGATCAATGCTCATCACCACTGAAGTGTAATTCTGACCGACGGTGACCAAACGCTCATCATCGCCGGATCATGCTGTAAACCGAAAGCGATTATAGGATTATCAACGCCGGATAAAACTTTGAACTGGGAGTGGTTGTGGCATTATCATAGCCAGATCAAACACCAAACTAGCGGCGATAGTGTATTATCACCACTTGTTCTGAACCAGCGGTGATGACCATGGCCATCACCATTGATATTTCACCGTCGAGGCCCAAAACCGATGGTGATGGGGGGTTTTGGCCCAACGGTGATGACCTTTCTATAGTATTGCTCTATTTATAGAGTGGAGGGGAGTGGGAATGTGGGCCCATAAATCCTTGTGAAGGCTTTCACCTCCCCACCATTAGATCAAACTGCCATTCCACAGACATGTAGGATTAAAGGAAATTGTGTTAGTTTGCATGGGGTCAAAAGACCTTGTGAAGACCACCTCCCCACCATCAGGCGACCCCCATGGCTTCGGCCAACCTCCATTGAGGGGTGGGCCTAACCCCTTCGGTGTGGCTGTTCCTCAGGTGGTACACGTCACGGGTATGAAGTTTCATCAAAGTTGGAGCACCGATGTTCTAGATGTGGGTCCAAGGATCCTTGTATGCATCCATTTGGACCATAGATTGTGAGCCGACCTTCAATCAATGATGGATAGCATCAAGGGTTCTTCTTCTTTGGAGTGGACCAGGTAGGAGGCCTAGGTGCCCATGGCCTAGGTTGGATGACCCTAGGGAGACCAGAACGACCCCCTTGTGTGCCCACTTTGGCCCATATTTTGCTCATTGCCTCTTGCAAAGGTTAGTTCTCTGAATATTGAAATTTGAACTTTATTTGAATATGAAATGTCATGAGCTTGTTATATCATTCACATATTTCTAACATAGTGACGGTTGGAATTAGGGTTTAGTGACTATCAACACCAAGTCATATGGGTACCAATGATTGTATTCTTGGATGCCTTCCCAAGTCATGCTTCATTTGATACCAGTTAGTGAATTCATGGATGCCTTGCCAACTGGAGTTCTAATGGAAAATAGTTGGTGAACTCTTACATGTCTCACCAACTCATTTTTAAACAAACATCGGTAGGTGAATTCCTACATGCCTCGCAAACTCATGTTTTCATTGGTTGGTGAACTTTTGCATGCATTTCCAACTCATGCTCTAATGGACATCAGCTAGAATCATGTTTTAGTGGATACCGGTAAAAGGATTCATGTAGGCCTTCCAACTCATGCTCAAGTGTATCTTAGTTGGTGAATTCATTTATGCCTTGCCAACTCATCCTTTATGGACAATGGTTAATAAATTCTTTAATCCCTTGCCAACTCACGTTTTAGTGGATACCGGTCAAAGGATTCATGTACGCCTTCCAACTCATGCTCTAGTGGATCTTAGTTGGTGAATTCATCTATGCCTTGCCAACTCATCCTTTATAGACAATGGTTAATAAATTCTTTAATCCCCTGCCAACTCATGTTGCAATGGGCATAGTTAGTCTCACAAACCCATGCTAATGGGCACTAGCTGTGAAATAATTATTCCATATCCTCACCAACTCTCCTCCAACTACTACAATTGTTATGCATTAAGGCACAACTTGGCATTAGGTCATTGCATGCATGAGCCTGGTAGGTGACAAGTGGCACACGGTGTGTTGCATGAGCATGGCCCCTTTACCCTATGGAACGAATACACCATGGTATGAGGGTATGCGAAGCTCCAAGCCTATAAATGAGACCCTTGACCACAACTTCAATTCACAAGAAAGAGTCCATATACTAGGTAAGAGGGACAAAGAAATTTGTGCTCATGGAGGCCTCCTCAAGATTGGAGCTTGAACAAGCGCATGCTGAGCTTTGGAACCTCACCTTTAGCTACCTTAAGTCCATGGCGCTTGAGTGTGCGGTACAACTCAACATCCCCAATGTTATTCACAACTTTGGTGGCAAAGCCTCTCTACCCAATATTCTCTCTGCCATCCCAGTTCCTGAACATAGGAGGCCCTATCTTCCACGCCTCATGAGGTTTCTTGTTGTATCAGGCATTCTTTCCTTTGATTCTCCCACCTTAGGGGAGGGTATGTACCAACTCACCCCATTGTCACGCCTTCTCGTGGATGACACCCACATCAATGGGTGTGTGGGAGCCTTTGGGCCATTTGTGCTCTCCCAAACCACAAAGTACCATGTCTCATCAGCCACATACTTATCTCGAGTGGTTCAAGGGTGAGGACGGGATGGGGCCTATGGCTGCGGAGATGCCATTCAAGATGGCTCATGGCACAGCCCATGGGGTGCCCTAGGGCGTGATCCACAATTCAACAAAGTCTTTAATGCTGGGTTGGGATCTAATAGTCGGCTTGTGCTAGACTTTGTTGTGGCCCAATATGGTGATGTGTTTGATGGCATAAGCTCACTGCTCGATGTTGGAGGGGGGGATGGTAGCACAGCGAGGACCATTGCAAAGGCTTTCTCACATGTCAAGTGCTCAGTGTTGGACCTCCCAATTGTTATTGCTGACATACAGCCGGGTGATGGCTTGGTTGACTATATTGCAGGTGATATGTTTAGCTCAATCCCACCGACTGATGCTATTGTGCTTAAGGTATGTATTTATAACGATTCATCACAATTGGAATCTGGTGTGGATCTATTTTCTTAATGTTAACCTGAGTACCTAATTGGTTGATTCTTACTCTTACCACAGTATGTGCTGCATGACTGGAATGATGATGACTGTGTCAAGATCCTAGATCAATGCAAAAAGGCTATACGTTCTTGCAAACCAGCTGGAGGAAAAGTGATAATCATAGATACAGTGGTTGGATCTCCTTTGAAAGAGATGTTCGAAGCGCAAGTCACATCCGATTTGTTGATGATGGTGATAGCCGGGGGTAAGGAGCGTGATAAGCAAGAGTGGCACAAGATATTCATGGAGTCAGGATTCAAGGACTACAAGATAAGGCCAGTTCTGGGATATCTGTCAATCATCGAGCTGTACCTGTAGAAAAAAGAATAAGCGTTATTAGCTAGCTAGGGACAAACATGTCCGAACAAGGGCCCTGCGATCCATTTGCTTGCAAATGCCCACCTATTCAGTCTGTTTCACAAAATAAGTTATATGTATGCCTCAATGGTTTATTGCCAAATAATAAGGGCCTAGTTGCATGGCCACAGATTTGAGAAACTAAATATGGTGTTGAAATTACTCCACTTTCTTAAGTTTTTTTTTTCTTTGAGCTAGTTGTAATTGCTTTTACAGTTTATTATTACCCACATATTGATCAATCACGCATAACCATATCTCGAGGTCATCGACGTTGGGCCCGCCGGCCTGGCACTGCCCAAGCCCATATTGAGCCTGACCCATTGCCGATCCATCTATGCAGGCTTTGTTCGGTTAGTGAGGATTCCAGCTAGGAATATTCCGGCTCATCTATGGTTATACAAATTAGACATGCAAATCCATCTAGGAATAGTTCTAGGCCACCAATCCCTAGAACCGAACAAACCCTTTATTCATTTTGGAGCACCTCATTTCGTGGCTATGCCTAACCGAGCAGAGGAATGATGCCGGCTCCACGTGCGTGCCTCACCAAGCAGGGTGGAGCCATCGATGAACTAGGTCACATAGTGCAGCAGCATGCCATGATCCCTCCCGCACCTATCTCACTTCTTTAGTCCATTCTTCAAACCCGTGTCAGATTTGCTTGTGTTGTGGGCCGAACACGGCATTGTTGTAGTCATACACCAGCAGCGTGGAGAGTTGGAGACTGGGAACTCGTGGCTGGTGCTGCCACCTGGCGTCATCCATGTTCCGAGGAGGTGCAATTTCTAGGAGAGGATTATTTGTGCAGTCAGATTAAAGGACAATAGGATGCTGTTTCATCATTCATTAGTTTTGGTCATACTATTATAGCACTCACCATGCCCAAGACTCTAAAGTAAAACAACAAATTGGTAACGTGGTGTGTTTTATTGTCAATTTGAAATTGCCCACTGAGCAAGGACATATGATTGCATTTTTCCCATAAGAAGACATGTTCAGTTTTCAAGTGTGAGTGAGAAAAATAGCATTTTGCCAGAGTTTTAAGAGTCTGCGCAATTCTTGTGTAAAGAAACTGAATTATATAGTTTTTGTATCATTGTACAAGATGACTTTATGCTTGTGTGATTGTGGCATTATGTAATTTCCTATGAACTTGTTGATCAAGGATAGGAGGCTGCAATTTCATCCACTCATTTGTTTTGACCATACTAGTATAGCACCGAATTTTGGTGCCTTTTCTTTACTCGATTACTTAGCAGTGCTTTCCTTTTTTTCTTTGTTATAAGGATTATTTGGGGGAAGTCAAATCAAATAAGCATAGATCTAACTACGGTGGGTCTAACTGCCAGACCTCAGATAATCAAACAAACCATTCTTACTATGGTTCGTGATACAATTATTGTACCAGAAAAGGTGCACCAACGGAAAATGGCAAAGGTCCAACTATTGAGAACACAGATGCCTACAGGATTATGACAAAGTAAGTGTAGTATATGCCAGGTGGCGGGGTGGGGGTGTGGGGGAGGGTAATAGTAGAAGGCTAAGTTGATGGGGACTGTGCAATGATGTTCATCAGCGAGAATGTAGAAGACCGAAGGATGCTGGAGGATTTTTTTTTGTTTGTTTGCGAGGAATCTGCATGATATTTTGGTCATTTTCTGTTTGCTATGTAAATATTTCTGGTTGGTAAATTAGATGATCCATTGTGTTTTATTTTCAGTACAGTACGACAGACCCATGATTGTCCCAAGTGTTGAATTATGTCTTTATTTCTTAGTGAAATAGATATAGTGTCTTTCCCTGGCAATATTCTGATAGTATATTCTCTTTACAGTTAATACTTAATCACTCAGCTTGTCACATCAACCTGCTTCAATTTTTCTCTGGATACATGAGACATTACATTACATTCTAACAACTCAGAGTAAATAAAAGCTTTCACTAATATTGGTGCGCTGCATGTGTCTTTATAGTTAAAAAGTGTTGCTCATCATTTTTCTAAAACTTTGTTGACCATGAGTGCTAGGCTGACTCTGATGACTCTGGTCGGTGTTAACTTTCTGTTTATCATCTATCATATTGAATGGGTAGATGTTTATGATGTGCACCAGAACTTGTGTTTTGTTTGGTAGCCTGAAGGACCTTGAGCACACTGGACTTACGGATAAAGAACATTGGAACGTGGCAAAACATAGTTTCAAACGTTAAGCAAGCAAAATTATAATGACTATACAATAGCTCCTACTAGAAATGCCATGCTCTGGCCAGTTTGTCATTCTGCGAGTGAAGTGAGAACAGTTTGCGATGCTTTGACTGAACAGAGCTGGATTTCAGATATTCAAGGCACACTCAATGTTACAGTCATTGTTGAATTCCTTGATTTATGGAACCTTCTCCAGGGCCGTCCCGGGGAGATACGAGGCCCTGTACAAAGCTAAAAAATGAGGCCTACTAGTCTAGAAAAAAAATCTCTATTCTTTGTTTTTTCTTATGCTTTTGCCAACTCGATTCAAAAATTTTAGACCGATTTGCAGAAGATATGGCTTCAATCTTCAAACACTAGTCCACTAGGCGAGTATAGATGAAAAGAACAAAAATTAGAGATTGATCCGCTACTCGCTATAGTTCAATGTGAATGAATTAAAAAAAAAAGAAATATGAATGATTAGTATTACCTTCAGCCTTCAGGGCCTTGCCTCTGTGCCTCGCCGTTGCTGTCACTCGCGATACATGGCCGATAGGAGACGGACAGGTTTGGGATCGCAGGAGACAAGAGACAAAACGACGCCGTGCGGCCTCCGGAAAACCATTTTTTTATTAAGCTTGCTAGTGGGTGATCCTGTTTTGGGCCAACGAAACAAAATCTGCTTTTAGCTATATGGGTTATGGTACTAGAAAATTGGAGGCCTGTCAGAACTGGAGGCCCTGCGCCGTCGCCCTGGCTGCACGCCCGCAGGGACGGCCCTGCCTTCTCTCGGAGGTGGAACTGCAGCCCGAGGTTGAAGATTCTCACACATGGCGTTTCTCTACCAATGGAAAATACTCAGCAAAATCAGCATATGAGAGTTTGTTTGTTGGAGAGAATTTGGAAAAGCTGGGCGCCTAGAAAGTGCAAGTTCTTCATGTGGTTGATGTGCTTGTATTTCATGAATCATGTACATACGAGGCACCAACACCTAGCTAGTCTTTACCATCTTGCAAGTTTAAATACATCAATTTTGAAATTTCTTTCTTTTCCAATAGCTTGCTGTGTAGCTTAGTGTTCTAGCTAGATTGTTGGGTATGATCACTTGACTAGCATGATGGAGTAATCTTGCTTTTAAAAGCTATACTCTAGGGTACGGCTCCAATTTGTTTTTGTTTCAATTTTAATTAGTTAGTCCCAAATTAAACCCCATGGCTTATTTGATCCTTTGTGTTTGCCTTTTGATTCGTCCCCGATAACAAGCATGTATTCATGATGATCATTACACATTTAGCACATTTAAATTATTGTCATTAGATACATAAGTGCAGAATATACATAGAAGATAAATTTGAAACCCATATGAACCAACTATACATATAACAAGGCGTAAAAGCATCAATTTATTTCATCCAAGTGATTATGTACGAACTTGTGAGGCATCTGAAGGTCGCCTACTCAGTGGGGTAGGAAGGCTCCATGGCCAGGCCATACATGCCTCTCTTGTCTGAAATATCTTTCTCCATCCTCATATAACCATTCTCTCCCCATGTGGTGCCCCATGAGTTCTTCATCAGCCAATACTTGGTGCCATCACTGATCTGTCCATAACCAATGGCGGCAATCCCATGGTCCAAGTCGGACCATGAGCCAGTCCATCATCACACCGCCAGAGTAGAACTGAAATGCCATGTCTCCACCGTCGACGGCCACCGACACGGGCTGGTTCGCCACTGCCTTCATCAGGGCTGCCTCATCATTTGCTGGTACATCCTCATAGCCATTGATGGTTGCAGCACTATTTGATCCGCTCTTGCACTTGCCATCGGCAGCTGTGTAAGGATAGCTGGACTCCGTGGTTAGTCCGCCATTCTTGATGATGAACTTGAAGGCGTCATCCATCAAACCACCCTCACAACCGGGTCCTCACCATGGACATCACAATCTACCAACTCTTGTTCCGAGAGTGAGGTGAGCTTGCCGGTGCTGATTTTCAATATGCCTTCGGTGGCAGCCACAGCTGAGAACGCCCAACAGCAGCCTACAATTGATTAGGTTTGAACATATTGTTAATTAGAACTTAGACTAACAGGATCTTATCTTAGTCTAAACATGATCACTAACTAAATTTTATGCGGAAATTAATCGATACTAACCAGAGTTTGTAGATGCCATCTGAAAAGCCTATGTAGACGTAGAAGAGTTGATGTAGATGAAGTAGATCTTAGTCTTCACCGGTTGAGGCTTGATGCTCCTAGTCGGTGAAGAACGCGATATAGATCCGTAATAGTAACTGGATGTGGGTGGACGACTTTTCTAAACCCTACAACGCTTTAATCGATTGGTTATGTGAATAGTCACGTGGATTAGAGAGCTTGTAACATCGAGGCACCTCTCTTATTTATAATCGCTAGGGTCAGGGGCGTAACCCTTAGAATTTTAAGGGTTGCCGCCGATCACGCAACAGTTCTTATTTAGTTGGAAATAAATGACGAGTGGGTGAACCAAAAGCTTAATGCTTAATTAATCTCGCAATTAAGTTCGTGGATTAGCTTTAACCGATCACATTCCAACATTCTCCCACTTGATCGAACGACTAATGCAATTATGCAACTAATGTTTGCTTTACACTTATGTTCACACTTAGTACTACAAAGAAGAAGACTAGAGCAATGCGTCACGTCAAAAGATCAATCACAATGGGACCCCATTACGGATAGTTCACTGTAATACCTTGTTAGAACCCTTATTACTTATTGGGAGTACATGGCCC